TTTTTATTTATGGATAATTAAAGAATTTAAGAGCAAAATTTGAGAAGCTACTCTTCAAAATATGTTGTTAGATGATACAAATTCTTTTATAGTCAAATGTTTAAATATATCAAAACACCTAAAACAACATCTAATTTTACAATCAAAAGTTGAATTCTAAAATCATCTAGAACCACGTTCAATTTTTATTATTTTTTCAATAAATCCATAACGTTCCTGCTACACAAACAAGGGCTTGTGACAAGGCTAAGGTGGTCTTGATCTGAAATTTGAATTGTTAGATCACACCTCAGCTCCTATCATGATAGGTCACTGTTTGAGTAGCAAAATTCAATCCGTAATTTGATTTGAAGTTGCATACAAGTCCACTTGAGTACGATTAAACCCCACCCCACGCCAACCGACCCACGAGTCCAATTAACCCGCACCGCACCCAGACTTTTTTCAATAATTCCATGATTGGAAGAGACACCACACGCGCAAGTCCAATTTTAAGTACAATTAGACCCCACTCCACACACCCATTTCGTCCCTTCTAGATATGAAAAACATATGCTTTGCACTTCTTTTTTCAACTTCATAAACATATTTTATTAACTTGTGCATATGAGCTCTCTTGAGGGAACAACCTGCCATCTTAAGGTCATTTTAGAGATTATTGAACTTCGAATGATTCGAAAAGACTAATTATCCTAACCATCGGATAAAGTTAGTACCAACTGACGCTTACAGATAATATTAGCACATGCACTCAATAACATCTAAGTTTCAAAGATTTTTGTTCGGCGTAATTTATGAAAAAAAGGCCCCAAATGTGTGATATATGTTGACTTATTTTAAATGTAGGTGGATCCACGTTAAAAATAACCTACGAAATTGGTGTGTATTTTAAGCATGAGTCATCCCGTATATACTTTAATTTACTCAAGTTCTTTTAAGATTAATTTAAGCAAGAACTCATTGACTCCCTCCGAGTGCTTGTTTGGGTATCATTATAATAGAATTGTGATGAAAATGAGAAATGAATCTCACGAAATATATGAATAACAAGTGAAAATAATTATGAATGTGGAATTAAAGTTAATGTTTGACATCAAATGATAAGAAGACTATATATAAAACTCAAACAAACTAATGCAAATCTCACGAATTCTAAGAGAATCTAAATTCTTTCTTTGTAAATCAATATTTAATGCAGTTAATTATCACTATAATAAATGCTCATGCAACGGTTGTTAGAGTTAGGACAACATCAAGAAAGTCATACTAGGAAAGTTAATAATCATTAATGCAATGCCTTAAAAATAATTATTCATTTGACTTTAACTAAAAATCTTTCTTTTATTAATTTTTATAATAAGAATTCTATTCAACTTCACTAGTGCTATGCATGAATTTAGCTTTCCAATAAGTTTAATTACATGATAGAATATTTGAATGAAAAAATATTAGTCATATTTAAAAATGTCGAATTAATTAATTGACACTTAAATTGGTACTAAGTACCAATAAAACTGAATATCGTTATTTAAAATAAATAAAAAGTATATTGTCCAAAAATATTTAGTTCTTCAGTTGAGTTCAAGTCATTCGATTTGAATTGAGTCGAGTCGAGCCGGCATGACATTCCAAAAATACCCTATGTTCCTATCTTTGTAATGGCAAGGCGCCAAGGTGGAGTGGATAATGGGTTGACCAGTTGGGGGCGATAAAACCAAAGATTAAGAAGATTCCTTTTACCTTCCTCTCTTCTTCTCTTGACTGGTCCCACATCATTCAGTTAACACTCGCCAAATGGATCTTTTATCTGTATTCACACGCACTACACACACTATACTCTTGATTCAAAATTCATTATTTTTTCTACAACAATCTCTTGTTAATACAAAGAAAAAAGAAAAAAGAAAAAAAAAAACCCACCAAATCTGCCAAAACTTGGCTATAAATTTGCAGTATTCTTCAGTTGCTCTCATTATTCATAATTCTGTCACACTGGACAGTTTGTGACTCTGTTTGGTGTGTGTCTATATACAGCAGTTGTCATCAATGAAGGGAATGCTTTTTTGTTAAAGATAACCCAGAATTCACGTGCTCTTTCTTAGCAAAAGTTCATTCTTTATACACTTTTGCCTTTTCTGCTCCTATATATATAATATATGCATTTGCATTAATTGCATTGAACTAAAAGAGTAAAAGGGCGTCTCTGTGAATTAATTTTTTTTTGCTGAGATGGGATTTGGGTGGATCTTGGCGGCGGTCGTGGTGGTGGGATTGGTGGTGGGCGGTGTTTATGGGTTCCCGGAGGAGGATTTGGTGGTAAAATTGCCTGGCCAACCGGAGGTGAAGTTCAGGCAGTATGCAGGATATATAGATGTGGATTTGAAGGCTGGAAGAAGCTTATTTTACTATTTTGTAGAGGCAGAGGAGGATCCTGATCATAAACCCCTTACTCTTTGGCTCAATGGAGGTAATTATTTTCAAGAATTTGTACTTAATTTTCTTGATACAACCAAATACAGATGAACAAATTTTACCAAATAAAAATTTTGAATCCAAGTATTTGATTCAACGTGTTCATTTTTTTCGTAAATGGATGATGACAAGGCTTAAATATACTTTAAAACATGTTGACTTTCTTGCTTATTTTTCTTTTTGCTTTGGTCAAGTGAACAAATGAAAGGTCCATCTCCTTTGAGATTTTGTTTTAATTGATTTAGTTGTTGAATTATCTGTAAATGTGTTGTAATCAAGTTGATTCTGGTATTATCAGGCTCTTAAAAAGTGTTGTGTGTAACATAATTGAGCTTCTATAAGAAAAGTTAATGAATGAAAAGAACTTAAAAATGGTGTTCGAACAAAAAAATAATGCATAAATGCTTGGCCGAATGTTATGAAGCCCCAAATTGAAGCAAGACACAAGGATAAACATCTGACTGGCCAATGCATCAACAAGAAGTCTGTTCTATAATGTCTTCTTTCATTTTCTATGAGGTTGCTCTAGTCCATAACTTTTTAGCCGAATATTCTAAGGTAGAAATCTCAACACCAGGGCATTAAAAAGCGTTTCAAGCACAGCTTATCGCTTAAGGCTTATGCCTCAAGGGAAAAAAGACTTTCTTCCTAACCTCAAAGTGAGTCTTGGAATTGTCTTCTAAAACTGCGGTTTACTTTATGTATTCAGGCCCAGGTTGCTCATCAATAGGCGGGGGAGCCTTCACAGAGTTGGGGCCCTTCTTTCCTAGAGGCGATGGTCAAGCCCTACGAAGAAATTCAAAATCATGGAATAAAGGTGCATATCCAACTATTAAACTTTGCCTCAAATTGTGAATTAATATTATGAAATACATTTCTGGTTCGAGTACTTCTGTCATTTTTGTGACTAATTTCCATGTACTTACTAACATATGTCCTTCATTTGTGTAGCATCAAATCTCCTTTTTGTTGAGTCTCCAGCTGGAGTAGGATGGTCATATTCAAATACAACCTCAGACTACAGTTGTGGTGATGCATCCACAGGTAAGGATGTGCTTATGCCTTATTCATTCTTGTTCGCACATATAAGTATGTCATTGTGAGTGTAGCCCTCAAACTTCTCGGGGGTGTACTTTTGAAATCTGAGAATAGGCTGATTCAATTGTAGCACGTTCAGTGCTTGGTAATAGACATGATTGAACAATACAATAGATAAGAGTTTAACTTCTTTTCTTCCTTAATTTGTCCAATACAATCCAATCCACTTTTCCAAACAAAATGCCTTTAAAGTTCCATTTATTTTTTTCTTGGCAGCAATGGATATGCATATGTTCATGATGGAATGGTATAAGAAGTTTCCAACATTCAAAAGCCGAGAGTTGTTCCTGACTGGAGAGAGTTATGCAGGTATGTAGTTTAAGTCAAGTCCAATCACATACCATTGGATCATTTGTCTATTGTCTCTTTAGCTATCTGTGAGGAAAATAGATCCTGGAAAAGTGCTTGTTGGTACTATATTGAAATTTTTTTCTGCGCTCCTTAAAGAGAAAACAATTGAAGTATTAAATCTCTCCCTTCTCGATTTTGCTAAATGGAAATAAAAATTATGGAATCTGCTGTAATTTTGGTTGTTTCATATTTTGATTTCAATATGAAACACATAAATGTGACGATAATCTACTGTTTTACTTTATAGATGGTGCGACGTGAAAGTTTATCGTTCTAAGATATTGTGTAAAACTTATGAATAAGTTTTTTTTATGCATAGGGCATTATATTCCACAATTAGCTGTTGCTATTCTCGACCACAACGAACATTCTAAAGAGTTCAAGTTCAATATTAAAGGCGTAGCAGTAAGAAATCATTACTCAATCTGAATTTCTTTACAAAATATTGAGCTATTTACTTAATTTACTATAAATGGTTTAATTCTATCAGATTGGCAATCCTCTTCTCAGACTTGATCGCGATAGTCCTGCAACATATGATTTCTTTTGGTCACATGGAATGATTTCTGATGAAATTGGCCTTGCAATTATGAACGAGTGTGATTTCGAAGATTATACATTTGCTAGTCCACATAATGTGTCACATGCATGTAATAAGGCCATATCAGAGGCAAACATTATTGTTGGGGGTTATATAAATAATTACGACGTGATTCTCGATGTGTGCTACCCTTCTTTAGTAGAGCAAGAATTGAGACTACGAAAGATGGTATTTTATCTTGAATTCAATCTTATGTGTTTCTTCTTGAAGAAAATAGAAATTGACGACTGCTGGGATATGCAATTTCAGGCTACTAAGATTAGTGTTGGAGTAGATGTGTGCATGAGCTATGAAAGGCGGTTCTACTTCAACCTTCCTGAGGTTCAGAAGGCTCTTCATGCGAACCGGACCAATTTGCCGTATAGCTGGTCCATGTGCAGCGGGTAAGTCAAGCATTATTCATATGAACTGATGGCATGTCGAAAAGTATACTGAGAGTTCAAGATGGTTTTAAATTTCTTAGCTAAGCATTGCTACATGAATTCTGTGTGAAGGAAGATCCCGGTAACATAAATAGGCCAGTTCTTTACGAGTAGATATCAGACTTGGAGCCTGTTTGAAGTAGATTTTGTGGAAAGTGCTTTTTTTCTTTTTTTTTTTTGGAAGAATGTGGTTAAATGGTAGGAAAAGTTATAGGTCCACGTGAAAGATTTATTTAATGAGACAATGTGTGATTGAAAATGAGTTCTAAAGAATCTCTACCAAACGGGGGGTTTTATTGAGTGTTAGGTTACGAAATTGAGGATGCTAAATGGGTATGAGATCGTACTAAAATAGACATGACATGAAACGATGAAATAAGCAAAAAGTGGTCTTGCTGACTCCAAATAAGGCAATGGAGGGGAACACGCTTAAAGAAAAGAGTTTGAAATGTGTATTGTGTCCCATTGTACTTCTTACATTTTGATAATAATTTTGAACCTCCTTAATGCCCTCTGCCTATTTATTTTCAAAAGACAATAAATCTCTCACAAACACGAATTTTGTTCTATATTTTAGATAATAAAAACTTGCAGTAAAATAAATTGATTGTTTATCTTCTTAATATGTTACACAGTGTTCTAAATTATAGCGATACAGATGGCAACATCAATATTCTTCCTCTGCTTAAAAGAATCGTGCTAAACAACATTCCAGTTTGGATTTTCAGGTGAAGTATTCACTAATACAATGTAACAGTAGATTCCTTTTTTTAAAGAAATCATCCAATGATCAAAATGCTCTATTTCAGTGGAGATCAAGATTCAGTCGTGCCATTAATTGGTTCACGAACACTTGTACGCGAACTTGCTCATGATCTGCAGTTCAAGATTACAGTTCCATATGGAGCATGGTTTCACAAAGGACAGGTACTTGTTCAAAACCCTCTCCTAACTGTTTTTATATATAAAAAAAGAAGAAGCTAAAATCTTGTTTATTATACTGGCGAGAATAGTGCCCAAAACATGCACTTATGGCTTAAACCTTTTGTTTAACTCTCCTAGATTGCTTATCGTAAAAAATTTGTTGGAAAAATAGGTTGGAGGCTGGCAAACTGAGTATGGAAACTTGTTAACCTTTGCAACTGTTAGAGGTGCTGCTCATATGGTACCCTATGCACAGCCTTCAAGAGCTCTGCATCTGTTCAGTTCGTTCATCCGTGGCCGGAGATTGCCAAACACAACTCGTCCTTCCATCGAAGAGTGACTAAGAGCACTACAGTGACAGATTTGTATTCAGAAATTATATATAAAGTCGAGTTGTAGTTCCTGGAATTTCATTGAGCCGAAGGCAACACATCCATTCTGCATTGTGATTTATAATAAGAAAGCAAAACCAAAGGAAAATCTCAGAAACAGTGATTATTGATATGATTGTTGAGGAATGAAAATCATCTTGGTATGTCATGTTTCATTGACTAAGCATTGTATTGGTGTATGTTTAAAAATAGGGGATTTTATTTAGCCCTTGTCTGTGTTTCTGTGACCCTTTAATTTTCACACTCATTTTCAACTATGTACTTATATAATAAAATATATTGTACGTAAATCCAAAACTTTTACATACTTTTAACTACAAAAAATCCACTTTTTTCAAAATAATGGCCATCAAACGGGGGTTTAAGAAGGACAATAATAGTATAAAAGGCATATGAAGGAGGCATAGTAGAAACCGTCACTATTATAGAACTGCAATGGTAAATTCTATCGCCTCATACTCCTATTTCTAACTCTAACTCACGTCATTAAAAAAGTTGGGTGATCATGGGTTCGACTATTTTTCATTAGAACAAATAGATTTTCTAATTAATTTTTAACAAAGGGATATTATTTTATTTAGATATGAATCTTAAAAGAAAATTTTCATCTCTAGTAACCTTCCAAGACAAAAAGGGTCTTTTGTTGACATTGAAAAGTTGAAGCCAATAGATTTCTTGTCACATTCTTGTCAAATCATTCTTCTATATGGTGGTCAGCGGAGCACCTTAAGTTCTTCTTTACGTTGAGAATTGCCACCAGAAGTGCAAGAAGATGAAGAGTTGGCTAAGGTTTTCAATTTCACTTGCTTTCCATATAATTTTCATATCTTAAATCTATGGGTCCCCCCCAAACACGTGTCACCTCGTCATTAGATGATTCTAAACAAATTTTGATTCTATATGACACCATCTTTGTCACAATTAACCTATTAATTAGGTGGTTGCTATTGTTAGATTCTTCGTAACAAATTTTCATTATTACTAAAAGTGTATTTGATTATCATGAAAAATTTCACCTAAAACAGAAAATATTTTCCTTGTTTTGAGGAAAACAAAATCTACTCCTCCCAATGAAAATATTTTCCTTAAAAATAAGGAAAATTAAGTATATTTTCAAAAGTTCGAAAATATTTTTAATGAAAAAAAATAGCAATCAAACACTCCAAAGTAAGAATTTGGGTGAAACCTGATATTTCATGGAAAATAAATGTAATCAAATACACTATAATAGTTCTACCACGTGGCTGTCTCCTTTTGCTGTTACGCTATTAAGAAGATATTTGTTTGGTTCATTTAACGCGAAAAGGAACTTGAATGTCTCCATAACTTCATCGATTTATTTTGCTAGGATTCAATTAACCTCAAGCATATTGGTTTGCTCATAAGGGTTCGGCCTATCGAGCAAGACAAGTCAATATCTTATTTTAAGCACAGGTGAATTCAGCAAGCTCATGGGTTCGTCCCTATTTGGGCAAAGCCGAGGGAGAGGTGATCCTATAGCTTTGTCCATGCGAAGCAATTCTAGCAGAATTATACTAAACTGGCAGAGCCTACATAAAGCTCATTCTAGCAAGTTTAGTCTGTCCTTGTTTTGTAGTGAGGTCATTTTAGTGTGTCACGTGGCTTCCTTTTTCATACGTGAGTACAACCTGGCGTCCACGTGGGACTATCTTGTGCCACATGAAATCACCATGTAAATTAAGATAGAAATTTTTGGGATCTTACCAAATATAAATGAATAATTTCTGTTGTATAATAAATTTTCCTATCCCGACCTGGGGGCCACTAAGATAGATTAGAGCAATGCTATGCAACCTTATTGGAATTACAACCTTAGTTTAGATGATAAGTTAAATGAAAGGTGAAATTAAATGAGTTATTTAGATTTCACCTATCAATTAATATCATGTTAGCACAATCCACACTGGGCTTACAACCCCAATGTGACTAAATAACATTACTCGATAAATTAACAATTTCAAAAATTTGATTAGGTAATACTTTTCTGAAAACTCAATATAAATATATGATCATGTTCGTACCATAAATTAATAAGGGAAAAATACATAATTACTACACTATAATTATCACATTTCAAAACTAACAAACATATCAAATTATTTCAAAATCTAGGAGTTAATTCCAATTAATAATATATAATATAATTTAAATATATATACAATTCACTTAAATTATATTCCACCTCCAACTCAGGAACCCCTACTCACTGGACACTCTACCCACACTCTAGAAAATTTCTAGAAATTGAAAACTTCTTCTGGATATTACACCCAACCCCATAAGTACTACATCCACTTACCACTATCACATTCAATTCAAATCCACAATCATAAATATTACATTCACTTACCTATGTTATCTGTGATTGTCTGTGATCATGTTAGTCTAATTTGTGATTGTATGTAACAAAGTCACATACAATTACAATTAACATAGATCTGGTAACAGACAATCACAATGAAAATAGATTTAGTCACACCACGTTGCCGTCACTACCACCAATCCCAACAATATCGAGAACAGAAAGCACACAACTTTACCATGACCACATGCACCACCAGCAACAACACCATCGCCGCCTACACTACCACCAACAAAACCACCCTACAGATCGGGAAATCACGAGCACCATTTGAAAAACACCAACAACCATACCAAAATTTTGGCTAAACAATAGATCTAATAAAACAATCACCCACCACATCTGATTAAACAACTGTTTACACCAACACATCAAACAACAGATCTGCATTTCCCACAAAAACTGAACTAGAACAACTTGCCCTTCAGCCCCGCCAACAGGAAATTACTCAGCGATACCACTCATTTCTGCATAGTGGCGGCTCATTGCAAGCAGAGCTCGTCCCTGCTCGCATCACCTGATATATGAATTGTAAATTAATTTTCCTTGTTTATGATAATTAGTTTTTAATTGTAGGTTTCTAGGTAATTTTTACAATTAATAATTTTTTTGGATAAAGTATCTTAAATATAATACATTGAATCACTTTCTTAAGCTCACATTTGGTGTAGATTGAAATTAAATTTCTAAAAGATTTTGATAAAAAAAAAATGATGAAATAGGTAGATGAAAAGTTTTGGATCCAACAAAAAGTGTGGTTAGAATTAATTATTGACTTTGACTTGAAATTAAAATCAATTTTGGTCTATACTAAACATGGGCTAAATGAATACAATAAAAGTGACTTTTATTTATTTAAACAGATAACAATGATTAAGTTTTTGATTACTTAAATGTATCCATATTTGATTTAATGCTTATTTAATTGATTATATGAGTAGAATACAATTAATAATTAGCTGGTTAAATTAGAGATGAATTTGTGTTGAATCATAAATGCACACTATAAAATAATAAATTATTAATTCATTTAACCAAATAATTCTGTTTTAATTAATAGAGTTTGCAGGGACCCACGTTATTAATTTATAGCATTATACTATGCCATGTGTTCCAAGGCTTAAATAAATTTTTTTGATAATCACTTCGTTTCACACTTATTTTTAATCGCACACTTTAAAAAAAATAAGAAGAATTTTTTACCTTTTTCATGATATATTCTCAATTTTTAATCACTCATTTACCATAAAAAACATTTTTCAAAGAATCCTCCTCATAAAATCTTTATCAAATAAACTCTAAATAAACTTCTTGTTTTGGGATGCTTTTGAATTTCAAAGATATAGTCGAAACGTAGCTAAATGCATGTGGCATTAAGATATTAAATTAGATAATACGATAGACCGACTATTCAACCCGAGAAAATAATAATTAAAAAAAAGAAGAGCATGATGAATTAATCATAATGGAGCCAAATGAATTAGTGACATTCTCAATAAAAAAGTGGGTTTTACAAGATTGTTTGTACTTTTAAAGTTGATAAATTATTACTAGATGAGTGAATTTCTACCTAATGTAGTGTACTAGTCGCTATCACGCGCGTTGTACGAATTTTGTATTTATCTTATTTTTATTAGTGTATGAATTTTAATTTTTTTGAAAATTTTTTGAAGCAATATCTAAAAATATTTTCATAATATAAGAAAATAATTGAAAATTACTTTTACAATTGCATAGCAGCATGTTATCTAGAAAAAAATATACTTATATATTTCATGCTTGAATAAGAAATATAAAAACTATTTTGCTTGTATTCTTCGATAGTGTTAATATGATTGAATTGAATGTGAAAATTATATTTTTAAATTTTGTGTAATTCAATATTGTAAAATTGAAAAAAAAAACTTCCCTCACAGTGCGAAGAGAGTTAAACCAAGTACAGAGTAAAAATTAAAAAAATTAAAAAAGGTACGGAGAGAAAAAAACCTCTTCGCACAGTGCTAAGAGAGTTAAACCATGTGCGGAGTAAAAAAAAAAAAACTCTCCGCACAATACGAAGAGATGACAAACCAACTCTCGCACAGTACGGAGAGCAAAAAAACTCTCCGCACAGTGCGTAGAGAGTTGAATTATGCGCAGAGAAAAAAAGTGCGAAGAGAAAAAAAACCTCTCCGAGAGAGTTCAACCATGTGCGGAGAGTTGGAAAACTCTTCGCACAGTGCGAAGTTAAAAAAAAAAAAACTCTCCGCACAGTGCGGAGAGATGACAAACTAACTCTCCGCACAGTACAAAGAGAAAAAAACTCTTTGTACGGTGCGAAGAGTTGTTTTCAAATTCTTTAATTACAAGTCAAATTTCAAGATTATAAATTTTTCGTATATACAACGAAACAGAGTCGAAAAACATGGTTCAAAATCATTTATGTCTTCTTTAAATTCTAGTCACAACTCAATTTTTGAGCATGCAAGTCATATACGGTATTGGAAAGGAGCTTTCTCGTGATTCATACAATGAAACAATATGTGAGTTGTGCAAAGAAGGGGATATTGATAGTACCATAGCATTGCTTTCACAAATGGAGGCTCTAGAGTACCACCCAAATTCAATATTTTATACTTGCTTAATAACAACTCTTGGACATTAGAAGCGGATACAATTTTCAATGAAATTATACTTTCAGTTTGTAGGTTAGGAATTAAAGTGTTCAATACATTGCTCAAAAGTTGTTTGAGAAAAGACCTCTTGGAATTTGCAGATAAAGTACCAAGAGTTTTTGTTTTTCTCTTCACACTGTGCGGAGAGATAGTTTGTCATCTCTACGCACT